GAGCGGGGGGGGAGCGCCGGCGGGGAGGGGGCCGGGAGGCGAGGCGCGCGCCGGCGTCGGAAGCGACGTGTACGACGAGGCGGTGCGGCCGAAGAAGAAGGGAGTGCCGTCCGAGCCCAGCACAAGAGAGTGCTCCCACCCGGCGGCGACGGCGCACACGCCGAGGTGCGAGGCGGCCTTGACCAGCGTGGGCGCCGTCTTGTCCTTGTTGTCGTCGCCTACGGGTGGCTCGTGGAGGGTGTGCTGGACGTGTCGCGGACGTGTCGCGGTCTCGTCCTCCTCGATCGTCGCCCATCCCGAGCCGCCCCCACGAGCCGGCGCCGCAGCCGTAGAGAGTGCCCGCCCGAGTGAGCGCCAGCGTGTGCAGCCCTCCGGCAGAAGCGGATGCCACGGGGGACTTTGCCCCGCTCAGCATGGCCACCGCGCCCAGCGAGTAGCTGTCGCCCTGCACGGCGACGGGCTCAAACTCGGAGCCGCCGCGCCGGCCGCCGCCGCCGCCCGCATCCTGCCCGAGCGCGCCCTGGTCGGCGGCGCCGCACGTGAGCAAGGACCCGTCGGCGAGAACGACCGCCGTGTGCGCGTTGCCGCACGAGACAGCCACCGCGCGCCGACCGGCCGCGCCCGCCCCGCCGCCAGGGATGGCGACGCGCCCCGGCAGCGGCACATCTTCGCCTAGGGACGCGCCGTCGACACCGCGTCGTGGACGTGTCGTGCGCAGCGGTCCGGCCGCGGTGTCCTCTGCCCCGTCGCTAGGACGTGTGTAGCACCGACAGACGGCTGTCTCGCGGCCTGCCCTCCTGCCTCGCCGCGCATGGTGCGCGAGACAGGCCACGTGGGAGACGGACCCACTCGGGGAGTCTCGCGTCATCTCGGGCAATCTCGGGCAATCTCGGGCAATCTCGGGCAATCTCGGGCTCGCCCGCGGATGCGCCGAGGCCGAGCTGGCCGCGCTTGTTCGAGCCGCACGAGTAGAGCGCGCCCGTCGTCGAGAGGAGGAAGGAGTGCTCCCCCCCGCACGAGACGGCCGAGATTGCAACCTGGGGGGAGGGGGGGGGGGGGCGAGGACGGGCACTCGTGGAGGGAGA